AACAAAGCTGCTGAAGGAGGTGAAGAAGACAAAAATGACAGAAGGTGGAGTGAGAAATACTTGGACAGAGATGACTTGCGTATCTAGGACACCAGCTTTATCTGTACCAAGCTCTTGGTAACTGGTGTCTCAGTTCAACAGTATCATAATTTTTGTTTTTATTTTTATATCAAACCACTGAAGAAAATTATAATCTTAAAGTTGTATCACTGAACTTTTAAATAACAGAAAACTGCAAGATTATCATAAATGGCCACATTCAGAGATTCAGACATTAGTTTGACAGTTTGCTTTGAATTTTGTGTATTTAATTAGTTAAAAGTGGGTTTTTACTTCACAATGATCAGATATCATCAAAGGCAGAGAGGTTCAGGTCACTGTTGGCATCAGTCAAAAAAATTCACTCACCTAAAATAAAACATTTAGCTGTGAGAGTCAGTGATCAAGAGTTTGTTTCACTTATGTTTTAGACAGATTGATCTTATTAGGCTTATCAGCTGTTTTAAATGGATGCTACAACCACCACTAGAGAAAAATATAAACAATTTGAAGCAAAGAATTCATTCATTCATTCATTCATTTTCTACCGCTTAATCCCTGAGCGGGGTCACGGGTGGGGCCGGAGCCAATCCCGGCCGGCAATCGGGCGAAGGCGGGGTACACCCTGGACAGGTCGCCAATCCATCGCAGGGCTAACACATAGACAAACAACCACACACACGCACACACATGCACTCCTATGGGCAATTTAGAGACACCAATCAACCTAAGCTGCATGTCTTTGGATTGTGGGAGGAAGCCAGAGTACCCGGAGAGAACCCACGCAAGCACGGGGAGAACATGCAAACTCCACACAGAAAGGTCCCAGGTGGGGCCCGAACCTGGAACCTTCGCGCTGTGAGGCAACGGCGCTAACCACTGTGCCACCGTGCTGCCCCAAGCAAAGAATTGTTACCCTAATTTTTTTCCCAACTTTTCCCTGAAAGAGGTGTGTAGTTTGTAATTCTATCTCTGTCCAGAAGGTTTCTCCTTTAGATTCCCAAGACAACTGATGAACAAGCTTTGGGCCAAGTAACATTTAAAACATTTAATTAGATCGTGATATTTATCTACAATTGGGGCTGTTTTTAGACAATTAGCTCTTTTGTTAAATCAAAACAATGAAATCAAGGTAGATAAACTTCATTTTAAATCCCAAGGGTCAGTTATGAAAAAAAATCAATTTAAATTCACATTGAAGTGAGTGAGGCAAGTTGAGGAATTGTTTGTCTTCTAATGCTTCCAGTCGTGACATTGAAAGAAATTAAGAAGTCAAGCCACAACCAAAATCACCAAGAGGGACAGGTGTGAAATAATGACAATAACTCCTAAGCACTGCAGATGTTTAAGATCATGGTGCAGACACTAACTGCACTGCTAGAGCCATAAGGCAGTTTTTGTTTTAAGATTCTTTTTGTTTCTTTCCTATATTTGTTGTACAACTGCAGGGTTATAGGAAAAGAATGGCTTTACACATGTGATAAGTTAATGCTAATCTCATTTCATTGGGAATTAGGGTTTTGTATGTGCAAAAAGCTTACCTGCTGTTACCACATATTACCAAGTAATATTCGACTCTGACAATGGGTATTATCTCATTTACAGTAACTAATTCTGTCAGAGCGTAATCTTGACACACTCAGACACTGCAGTGCTGCAGCACAGTGCATGGCACTTGTGTCTTCAGAGCACATTTTGGCATGGTCACTGGCTGGCATCTTTACTGTCATCCTTGATTACCTGCCAAGACAGACCGGTGTAGACATGGAAACCTATGCGTATGATGTCTCTGACATGAATATATGTAGAGAGGGTGGTGACTGTATTGCTGTGATTTGAAGATTGAGGATGTGTGTGCCTCTTTACGTGTTTTTAGGCAAATTTCTGTTTGTGGGTTTAAGTGAGTGTTGAAATGCTGTGCCTTAAAACCATAGTTCCTTGCTGATGTGTGTTCTTGTTGCTCTTGCCACCTACACACATTCGCCTCATATTACATGGAAGCCAGAGGGCCAAGATTTCTGTCCCAGCTCACCTTACTCACAAGCCTACACACTGAACTCAACAAACACTCCATTACATTTAATGGCATACAGCAAATGTAACACTCCTGCAAAAGCAAAAACTCCTGTTGCTCAGTCATTATACTCTGAATGTTTATTTTGAACAAAATAATGTTAGGTCAATGCAGAACACTTCACTTTTCCTCTATTCATTGTTCCAACAAACCAATAGGCCTGTTGGCAAACAATAGCTCTTTCTTAAGAAAAAATCACCCCCTCTAATTCGTTTTCTCCCTGGTTTTGCTTATTTGTCTCATTTTGTTCCCAGTTGATGAGGAGGCCTTGAAGAAGACAACTGATGAGCTGTATAAAGGCTTGGAGCAGGAGAGGGCCAAGGCAGATCAAGAGCTGCAAGCCTGGTTAGACACATGCACACAAACGCATACACTGCTTTAGTCTGGAATAGGAAATCAGTTTTTGTTGGTGACCTTGCACAAACAGTTTTGATGTTCCAAAGCATTTTTGTTATTTCAGAGGTAAATTCATTTTTATAATGTGTGCTTTGGAGTTGAAATTAAGATTCTAAGGTTTGCTGAAAGTCCAAATTTATGGTCTTCTCTGTGTGGTGTGCATTTCTCTGTCCTTCTTGTTCTTCTTTTACTCTCTACCCTACCTTCCAAGTTTTGGGTCATGATAAATTGAATCGGGGAGCTACACTACTGTCAATTCCCATTCCAGGATTTCATTACAACCAAAGACATTTTCAGGTGGGACCATTAATAATCAAAAAGGTCACCAATGCTCTTTCCAATCAGCACTGTTTCCAATCTGCCTCTCTTACAAAGCACATCAGTACCTTTTCCTCCCGATTTCTGCTTCTCCTTTCTTTTTCTGTGGATCAATTAATCATGTCTGAGCAAGGAGGCCGCTATCCAGTGTGAGGAGTGTATTCTGTTTTCTCCTCTTCTTCTTGACCCTAAAGAAGCAGGTGCACTTGCCATTGTGTCTGCTAATCATGTTGCTCCCTCTTTTTAGTAGGCCTGGATGAACTCCAGCATATCCTGGTGAATGAGCAACTGTGATTAGTGACTAAATGCTCCCTTACACTGTATGGTGGGAAAAAACGCAACCTTTCTATATCCAAGAGGAGGTAGTGTAAGCCCAGCAATTAGCCTCGTTTTTGAGGCTGATTCAAGAAGACAGAAATTATTGAGTGGTGTTGAGAAATCATTTGTCTATTGATTTTTTTCCCCCCGTCTATTTTATTTTTTTGATGTAGCTGCTTCTTAGAGCTCACTTATTGATGCCTGTTCAGAGGAGCAAGTGCCTCAAAATTATGCCCTCTTTGCAATTAATTGAAATCACTGTGGCTTTCAAACCCTCAAATTTTGTTTGTGCTTGGCATGGGCTGCTTTTTTACTCGAGAATACTTAACTGAATATGGAATGGTAAATAAGCAATCATCAGTTAAGTAACAGTTGTGTAATGTATGTTTGTGTCTGAATTCATATTATTATAAGTTTGCTTTCAATGTGGCCTTGTTTGCTTTTTATGCTCTTTTTGTCACATTGTTTTTGATCTATTTGTGTTTGTGTGAATATGTATTTACACCGATCAGGCATAACATTATGACCACTGACAGGTGAAGTGAATAACACTGACCATCTGTTACAGTGACCTGTCAGTGTGTGGGGTATATTAAGCAGCAAGTGAACATTCAGTCCTCAAAGTTGATGTGTTGGAAGCAGGAAAAATGGGCAAGTATCTGAGTGACTTTGACTGTGATGGTGGGATGACTGGGTCAGAGCATCTCCCACACTGCAGGTCTTGGTGGGCGTTCTTGGTCTGCAGAGGTTAGTACCGACCAACAGTGTCTAAGGAAGGACAAACGCTGAACTGGCCACCCACAGCTCACTGATGATGAGGTTGCCCTACTGTAGATTAAACTTTTAACTTCTATTTGTACTTTTCAAAAGATTAATATGTATTTGAATCTTTGTTAAAATGGTTGAAAATGAGAAATGCTGTACATTGGTCTCTATGAAGAGAAAGAGTCAGGGGTTGTAGTGGTGGTATCACATCTAGAGCAGTGAGGCTGTTGAATTTGTCTAAAATCTTCTCCTCTCTAACTTGTCCTCATGACCACAGTTTTCACTCCTTCTGCATAAGTTCTTCACTGAATTGTAGACACATCTGTGCTCTTCCTGACAGTAGAACTGTGGAAGCAAATGGATTAACAGAAGAAGCCCAGTGAGCTGCAGACTGACATGAGTGCCAACCTACTACCGTGGTGACTGCTATGTAAACGGTATTAGGCAGGTGGTTGTAATGTTATGCCTGATTGGTGTAGTTTTCACATATGATGTTACCTCAGTATTTAACATGGTGATATCTCCATCTTCGACATCACTCTCATCATCTTCCATCACCATGCTTCCATTCCCATTTTCTGTTTGCGCAGCACAGAGGGGATGTAGGCCACTCTGGTCTTTGTGGATGGGCCATGGACCAGTAAAAATTAGTGGGATGTTTCAATTCTCTTTTTTGGTGTTACCCCTAAATGAGGCGTTACAAATATATATACAAAATATATATGTGTGTGTGTAT